TTCAGCTGCAGGCCAAATTTATCCCAAGCCTCTGCCCCTCTGGAGCCACCTGTTAAGATTCAGTAAGCAATCCACAGATGCTGTGCTTATAGTCGCCTCAAAAGGCCATACAAGAAACTGAGGCCAGCTGCCTCCAGTGTGAGTCTAGGCCCTGCTCAGTAAGGAGCACCTGACTCACTGAGGATACACCTGAATGTGGCTTGGGTGGGGCCGCGAGTTGGTGAATCCTCTGGGTTGAGCGACCTCTGTTATCCAGTTCGATGACATCACGGCAGCGTTCTGCCCATGCACTGGGAGGGGGAGGGCTCAACAGGGAACAATGGATACTGCAGGCATTTCTGTACAGAGTGAGTCTCCCCTTGGCCCTCACTCTGACAATGTCTCCCTGTAAGTCCCTGGTGCCCTCTGCATGCAACCGAATTGGCACCGGTGCTCAGAGCAAGCAGGTGCATCGCTGCGAATATCCGCTCGTGGATGCGGCCCCTTTAAGAGGCGTCTGCTGTAGCCTCTGTCTCACTCAGCCACTGGAGACCAGGCAGCCCCGCGTCCTCACCCCGTCCTACCTTCTGCCGTTGCAGTGTTCTTTCTTGGATTTCTCCCTATTTGTATGGCTTGTTCATCAATATCCCAGGCGATTTTTCCTTGCTACTGCTCTTTGTTTCCATCACGATTTTGATTTGGTCGCCAGAGGGATGAACAGAGCCTCTGTCTTCTACGTCATTTTTTTTTTCATCTGAGAACAAAGAATTTTTTAAAAGCAAAGAGCGCCAGCACGATCTATGGGATTCCGTCAAAAGGACAAATATTAAGTAATCAGGATTCCAGAAGAAGAGAGAAGGGAGCAGAAAATTTCTTTAAAGATGTAATAGCTCAGAACTTCTCAAACCTAGGGACAGAACTGGACATCAAAATACAAGCAGCTAATAGATCACCATGTTATTTCAATACAAAAAGATCCTCTTCGAAACACATTACAAGCTATTTTGTCCATGTTTTTGAGACTGGAACTAACACTCAGATTGCCATGTTGTAGGATGAGCATATTGTCCACTGTACCAGATATTGTGAAATTATATTTCACAGGGTTGATTCAATTCATACTCGTACCAACCATGCAAAAGAATTCCTGCTATTTCATTTCCTGTTCAATGATTAGGTTGATATAATTGAAAATATTTGACAATTTCATGGGCGCGTAAGGGTATCTCTTGTATTTTTCATTTGCATTATCTTGATTATTTGTGAGATTGTCGTTCTTTTGAATAGGGTATTACCCATCCATGAACTCACATCCTTCATCCTGTATCTTTGGAGAACGTGACAGGTTCTAATTTATTTATAGGAGCTCTTTATAAATTCTGGATATTGATCCTTTCTCATAGGGGACTAAACAACTTTGATAAGTATAGATGTTTACGCTTCTGCTGTAAAGACTTGCTTATCACTGAAGGAGGTGAGTCGGGGGAGGGGTACAAGAAAGTCACTGCTGAAATAGAGTATGCTTGGTAAAATCAGGAAAATCCTCATTCTTTAAGATCCATATGATTTTTTTAATAGTTATCAGGACAAGGTTTGAGAATGAAATGGACATCTTGCCGGTTAATTTAAGAGCGATTCTTAAATTCTGTTTCCATAGCAATCTAGCAGAATCTCTAGTTCACTCCACTATAGGGAGGAATAATGATCGCCAAAAATTCTGTGGGTTACAGAACAAAATACCTACGTAATTACTCTTTATACCATAGAGATATAAATTTAAATAGAATCACATATTGAAAAATTCTTAAAAGTAACAATCATAAATATCATTTTGTCCTTTTAAAAGACAGTGAGATTTGACCAGGATATGGAAAGAATCCCTGAGGTTCTGAGGTCTCACGCGATGTTTTACTGTCAATATCATTTGCAAGAACAAAGTCCTGATGCAAAGATGTATCTCATTTTCCATGGCTGAAGAAGATGGAAAACATTCTTTGTTGAGACTTCTTGTTCAAGTAGTTAGAAGGTTAAATTCAGGAATTACAACCACTAGCACCAAGAAAAAGTGAAAACAAATGTTAAAAACATGTGCAGAGTTGACTTATCACCAAATGGAATAAAGGACATAACATTGCATCTACTGTATCATGATCTTCTAGAGTTCTCTGCATTTGATGGATAGCACCGCCTGGCAGTCAACAGATGGACAACAAGAAATGGAATGGCAGCCAAGCAGAAGGACAAGAGTTGAACGAAACCACACTCTCAGGAGCTTCTGAGCAGCATCTTCCACTATCAGAAAAAAAAACGTGTGTTTGTCCCAGTGGCTGAGGAAATCCCAGGTCAGTAAGCCTGAGAATACCAACCCTAATCACTTCCCATCTCAGAGCCCTACCCTCAGTGGAAGTCCTATATTTCCCCTGAATCCTCACCACACCCTGGGTCCTGCAGCTTGTACCAATGTCTTTCCTTCTTTACCACATGATAGAGACAGCCACGGGTCTCACTAAAGACTGGTAGGGCACAGGACGCAATGCACGAATGAACTGGTCAGCTTCCTCTACTGAAGTTCTGATTCAAAAGCAGCCCTGGGGAGCCCTGTCCAAAGAGAGGGACCTCCAGCCTGGTTCCTCTGCACTGGGGAGGGCTGCAGGCTACGATCCTTCTTCCCCTCCTCTCTCATGCTCTCCTTACCCTGTAACAGGACACAAGCTCTGAGTGTGACACTCTCCATCCTGCCCCATCCATTCCTGGTCGAGCTCAGATGTCAGCATCCAACTCCACAGCAGTTCTGCCGCACCTGTCTCCCACGTCACCCCTGCTCAAGGCAGGGGCCTCTCAACGGTTCAATCTCTAGAGTCTGCAGGAGGCCACCTGCCAGATGGCTGCACCGGACTCAACCAGGAATCCCAGGGGGCCTCCTTCTCACCTCATCCTGCACAGTCCCTACTGCTTTCCTTCTGCCACCCCTAAACCAAATTCTATGGAAATGCAGCCCTAAATTCCAGCCTTTTGAGTTGGGTCTGCAAGGCTTTCCACCCTCCTTCCTGGGATTAGACCCAGGCTTCTCTTTTCTCAGTTCCCTGGATGAGTCCCCTTTCCCTGGACACATCACATGGAGCCACCATGCTGCTCTCACCCAAATGTGAATACTACCATGCCGTGTGTGCCTGCTGTCCCCATACCACACACACTGGGCCCAAACAGACTCTCCCAAACACAGAATCTGAGTCAGGACTGAAATGGCTAAAGGCCGTAAGCCTTGCTGTGGGCCCCTCCCCCTTCCTATTGGCATTGACAGTGAGGAGATATCAGAAATCTGGGCTGAGCTTGTCCACGTTATGCCGTCACAGGATGTGACGTATCTCTGGCGTGGTCTCATTTCCATGACGAGAAGGTTCAGC